TCGACCAGGACTTCGAACTGTTCCGCTGTGAGCCACTCTCGTCGTGTTGGTCTTCCTGGCCCATATCGGTACTCCACTTGATGTTGCGTTTCGTACCTGCCTGCTCGATTCCTGATGCGTCGCTGTCCTCGCTCGTAGATGACCACCGCCGTGGTGGTTGGTGTAAAAGGGGTTCGTAGGTCGTGGGGTGTTCCCGGGGCTTGTTGCCGGCCTCGTAATGCCTGGGTCGCAGCTGTTTCTGCTTGTCCACCCCCATTGATCGCATCCCCTCGTCCGTCACCTCCTGTTCGCTCCAGTTCTCTGTTGTCGCGCGCTCCCGTTCGTTTGTTTGCCACCTCGATGGGGACGGCTCCTTCAGTGAGCGTGACCGTCCCTCGTGCTGGTGCAGCGTTGACAGCATCGCCTCCATCGCCGACAGCGTCTCTCTCATCGTTGTGGGCCGTCGCAGTGCCTGGAACCCGGTTAGCTGGAGTTGTATCCACTTCCGTGGTTTCTGCTTGCGGTTGCTGGTCACGTAGAGTACCCCGTCGCGCTGCTTTCGCTGCCCGTGCGTCCGCTTCTTCCTTCCGCCTTCGCTGTTGAGCTTCGTCTTCGCCAATTGCCTGTGTACTGCTCAACTGTGGCTTCTTTCGGTTATGTGTAACTGGCGGCGCTTTCATTCTGATCTCCACCTGCTTCTCATAAGACCGTTGCGGTGCCGGTACTACTGGTGACGGTATTTCCGGCGCTCCTGCCCGCTTTTCTATCGTTAAAGCAGGGGTCCCTTCAAGCAGCGCCTGGCGGGCTGTCTCCAACGCCTCTCCCAACGCTTGCCGCACACCGGCACCCTCATCAACCGCTAGTCCCGGCCGCCGTACTGCGCGACGGGCCGACTCGCCATTAGCTTCAACCGGCCCCTCCTGATCAACATCCCGGTCTGCGTTTCCACTAGTTAACGAGTCACTGTGAGCCCGGAAGTCCCCATCGTCGTTCATGCAATCGTCGGCTGTCGTGGTATTGAGTTCTACGGTATCGTTCCCCTCATAACTGAGTGTGATGTCATCTTCGTCCAGTTCAGTAAGTATACGGTCCGCTAACGTGCCCAAGCGGTCTTTCGGATAGTAATACGACACCAAGAAGCTAGTGTGAACTATCAGAGACTCTTGAAGATCCTGCCGCTCCACCAACCAGTTGTCGAAGCCGACGCTCTCCGCCAACTTCGCCGGTCCTACCCACTGGTGAGCTAACTTCGTGACCCCTTTTCCACGGGGTGGCTTCAACACCCATACCAACTCTCCTGTTTTGAAGTTGGTCCTGCAGCGTACTTGTGGATTATAGTAGCGCTCCCGTCGTCTCTGGTCTTGCTGCAACGCGATCTTCGCCAAGACTGCCGCTCGCTCCATCTGATGGATCAATCGTTGGTGGTATTCGGTCCAGTCGCCGATTTCCTCAACCGCACTAGATCTTAACAACTAATTCGGCGTTTTCAGTTGTCGACCCATCATCAGCTCATTAGGAGAGTAGCCTGTAGTTCCATGTCGTGCACCGGTATAAGCGTAAGCCGCACACGGAATCCATTCATCCCAGTCGTCCTGCTTTTCTCGGACGTACAACGACACCATGTCCTTCCACACCTTATGATATCGCTCAACGAGGCCAAGTAGCATTGGTCGGTATGGTACAGGAGTCGTCTGCTTTGCCTGTAATAATTTGACGAGTTTCGTCACGATAATGCCATTCAACTCAGGAGCACCATCCATAACCAGTTCTCTCATAGGGCCGAACGTCAACACCACTCGCTCCATCACAAACCTCGCCACATCCTCGGCGACATGAGTGGGAGACGCAATCATGACCGCGTACCGACTTGCGTAGTCGACTGCCGCAATAACGTAGCGATTTCCTCGAGCTGTTACCGGTAATGGTCCTGCTATATCGAGAGCCCAGCGATCGCCGACCGAACCGACACCTTGGCTCCTCAGCGGCGGAATCACTGCCTTGGGTTGCGTTTTTCGAGTTGCACAGTCCCGGCAGCTTCGGACCCAGTACTTAACCTGCTCTCTCATCCCCGGCCAGTAGTAAACACGTGCTACTCGCTCGTATGTCTGTGGGGTGCGGAGATGACACGCGTAGATTGAATCATGGGCTTCTCTCAGTACCTTAGCACGCAGCGCCACCGGTAATACCACTCGCAGGGATTCGTCCTCAGCTTTCACGTATACCAAGCCGTCGCGTTCCACTACCGCTCGTCCCTGGTGCTGATGGTCGGCTCGTAGCCGCTGGACGAACTTATCATCTCGTTGCTGCTGCCGTATTTCCTCATCCGTTAATTGACCTTCGTTATCACCGCTAGACTCCATTCTCCTGGCTGTAGAGGGTCGTGGTTCCACCGAATCTGTAGTGCTGACGATTGACGGCATCACCACCCGTACCGGAGCCCGAGACAACGCGTCTGCTACCACATTAGTAGATCCCGGCCGATAGGTGATACGGAAATCGTACTCTTGTAGCTGTAATGCCCAACGATACGGCCTCCCC